ATTGCCTATCCGTAGAGAGCAAAAAATCTCCCTATACCAAAGCTCCTACCTGCAAAATTCACCTTATTCGTTCCTTATTTTATATACATGTAACTTACCATAACATACCATTTTCTTGAAGTATGTTAACAGTTTTTTTCCATTCCTCGTCGATATCGAGCCATGATGAGGCAATTCCGTGTTCTTCATCATAACGACGAATTATTTTTTCTCCTATTAATCTATCACATACTTTCATGAGCATATATTCTTTGGGGTCTTCATCGCCTTCCTTTACATGGTCACACATTCTTGCGTCGGTCTGCATCTTATCCTTAAATGCAATGGAATCGAGCTTATCCTTCTCAGTTATGGTCACAAACTTATCTGGATCCTCGTCAAGTTCGATAGCTTTTTGACGGAGACAGACCTCTCGCTGTTTCCTAGCTGGATATGTGGGAGATAACGTTTCTGCTTGAGTGGTAGCTTCTTCATTTCTGGATTTTGTCTCATCATTTACAGGTGGGTCTGGAGAGGTCTCAGGCTCATCATTAATATATAGGTCAGGTTCATCACTCACTAATTCAATGGTTTCGGAATAAGATTCAACTTCATCGTCTAAAGGTTCTACATGTTCAATCTCGGGAGACATGGATATATTAGTAAACCCGAATGACGAAGCAACTGAACTTTCTGGTTGATCTATTATTGAGTCGAAGAGATCTTGGATCGTGTTAGTAACTGGTGGAATAGGAGCGGGTGATGAATCTTTGGCTTTTTTGACGCGATTGGTGGTCGACGACTCAGCTATCTTTTTTTCTAGTTCGGGAGTTACGATTTCTGGGACATTGAATATAGGTAAATCTGTAGAAGTGTTAGTGGATATTTCAGTTTGAGGTACGTCTGAAAATTCCTCGATGTCACCAACTGTTTCACGTATCTTAGCCACGATTTTAGATCGATCAAGGATATACTGCCACTCTCTTTTTCTGGTACTGGCTCGTTTTTTCTCAATATCAATTTTGGAGAGATTTTTGCCAAAGTTATTACTAGCGAATGGCTTTTCACCATTAGCTTCACACTATGTACGATACTCCTGATATAACATACCACGACTTGGTTCCTCAACTTGATCCCCAGACCATGTCGAGATATGATCGATTATAAATCGAGTGGGATTTGGGAGATGTTCTCGCATTGTCTCTGTTTTCATTTTAGTAGTAGGAATATTTTCTTCTGGGTTCCAATTCGAAAGGTCATCAGGAAATTTTTTCTAGTGAAAACCTTCGAAAGTTAACGTTAACGTAAGTATTTCGCTATTTTTCGATATGTT